TTATGTGGAATCCAAGATAACATGTCACGTCCGTAAAAATTCAAAATCGATGTTCAATAACTCATTCCAGCCAATTTTGGAGTACTGACACGGGCCGTCGCTGTGTTCCAACGCCGACTCTGCTGTCCACGGCAGCAGTCACCTCGGCTTAGTCGGTTTGACCGACTTTGGCCAGTTTTGGCCGTATCTCTACAAAAAAACATGTTAGGGCCTCAGTTGGCCAGAAAATCACAAAAAACGAACCTACTGATAAGAAAACCTCCGGGTGCGACGACTCCGCTAGTTCTCCTTTGCGGCTGAGGTTCTTTCTTTGGATAACCTACACATAAAAGGACGGTGAACACAATAATTAAAAAATCACGTGAAACGAGAATCAGGAAGAGGCTCATCGGAGGAGTTTTGGAATTTTGGCCGTGGCAGCTCCGTCAGGCTTCATCCACGGTTTTCAGCTCACCCGCTGACCTTTTTACTTTGATTTGGCCACAGGGGTACTCGGAATCAAATTTCGAGTGGGTAAGAAAATTTTTTACCTTTTTTGGCTGTCGATGGTGGCTCTAGTGCGGCGATGATCGGTAGTCACCCTCTTTCTCCAGCGTTTGGGTTTTCTTATCCAGCGAGAGCTAACGACTAGGGTTTGGGTTCCCGTGTGGTGCAAGGTATTTATATCAATCTCACGTTGATTTGGGCCATCCATAGCGATCAATCTCGTTCATCCGATCATGTATAAAGAAAAAATAAATTTGGACCGTCCATTGCGATTTGATCTCGACCGTCCGATTGCGTTTAAGGAAAAAATAAATCTGTACTATCCATCGTAATTTGATCTCGGCCGTTCGATCGCACTTAAAGGGGGAATAAAGCTGGGTCATCCACGTACGCGAGATCGATCTTGGACCGTCCAATCACGGGTACGCGGATCGCCGGTGTGGCACCGACGTCAGCGTGCCTCATCACGCGGTGTGCTCTGGATCGTCGGAACTGCTGACTAGGTGGTTATACGTGGTACAATTTTTTCTATTTCCACTTTAACCCTCTATTTCTAATTTTTCTTTTAAAAACACCATCCGAACTCAAATTTTCATTTTTTTTTTCAAAATTAGTTTCGATTTCATCCATAACATATTTTTTTCCAATAATTTCAATAAAAATTAAAATAAACTAATATAAAAATAAATTTTTATATATTTTAAAATATTAAAATTGATCACATACTAATTTCTAGACTCAGGTATTACATTATATGTTATTTCCAGTCTCCTCTCACCATTATTAATTAATAATATACGTATACATATACATATACATATACATATATAAATCGCACTTCTGATGCAAGATCTTTATATTTTTACTCCGTAGTCGTGATTTTTATATTATTTACAATTAAATAATTTTTTTACAATTTCTAAGTTTATTAAAAGTAAATAATAAAACAAACCATAATATTTTTCTGAAGTCACCATTTTATTAAAATTGATTAATTTTAAAACTTCAAGTTATAATCTTTGATCAATGTTTAATCTATATTTGAAAATTATTAAAAGAATGATCATTTATGTAATATCTTAAATTAATTTTTAATGTAATTAAGGAATTAATTATAAATATAATTTCTTAATTTTTTAAATTTTAATTTAGAGTAAAAATAAAGTAAAATTGATGGAGGATTAAATTGAAAATAATTTTGAAGAAAATAGGTGAAAATTTGGGTTTTATGGGTATTTTTGAAAGAAAAATCAGAAATCGGAGGCCAAAATGTAATTTAGAGAAGTTTCACCACGTAGGATGTCTGGTCAGCAACCCCGATGAATCAAGACGTGCCGCGTGGCAGCGAACGCTAACGCGGTGCCACACGGGCGATAAGCACGCCTGCGATCGAACGGCTCAGATCCGTTCTTGCATGCGCAAATGACCCAGATGCGTTCCCTTCCTAAACACGAACGGACAGTCAGATTTGAACGTAATTGGACAGTCCAAATTAGATCGTGATGAATAGTTTAGATCGGATCGCGATGAACGGTCCATCTTCACTCCCTATTTAATCGCAATCAGACGGTCCAAATCAAACGCGGTGGACGATCCAGATCAAAAGCGAACAGATATAAATAACCCCCATCCACACCAAATGCTAGCCCTAGCCACCAGACCCCCTCACAGGAGAAGAAGACCCAGCTGTCAGGAAGGAGACCGTCGCCTCCCGCCACCGCGCCGGAGCCCTTTTCAACTGCCAAAAGAGGTAAAAATTTTCTCCTTCACTCAAAATTAAATTTTAAACACACTCATGGCCAAATCGGAGCAAAAGGACCAGTCGATTTGCTGTAAAATGTGGGCAAAACCCAGTGCCGTTGCTGCAGAAAATTCCACAAAACAACTCCGATGAGGCCCTTCCTGATTCTTGTTCTGTATAATTTTTCCACCGTTGTGATCACTGTTTCCTTCTACAGGTTGACCGAAGCAGAACAACCAACCACAACGTGAGCCGGAGGATCTGCCGCACCGGAGAGCCCCATCGTCAGTGAGTTTTGATTTTTTATATTTTTTCCATCAA